ACTCCCTTCCCCGAACCATCCCGCCAGCCGAGTTGCTTCGAACGCGGCCCGGGAGGGCGGGCGCGCGCGCGCTCTCGCCTGGCTGCGCGCGCTTCTTCTCCCTCGCCCCGGTACCTTTCCGAAATGCGCGGCCCAGTGGATGGGCGTCCACCCGTAGAAGGAGTCCTCGGCTGCCAGGCTGTCGCGGGACGCGCTCTGAAGCAGAGCGCACAGGGCGGGCACGTCTCCGTCGCGGCAGGCGCGATGCAACGGAAAGCGGAGGATCAGCAGCTCCTCGCTCGAGAAACCCGCGTCCAGCGACATGGCGACCTCAGGCAACGCGCAGGGAGAGGAGTCAAGGCACGGCCGGCACCCGGCAGCGACGGCTCTAGCTGGGGAAGAAATCGCCCTCCGCCGCGGAGCTGGGAGACCCTCGCCGCTTCCACACCGCCCAGCTGCCGAACAAAGAAATCGAGGCGGGCCTGCAGGAACCCCGCCCCGGCGAGAGGCGGGACCACGGGCGCCTGCGCCAGGCCTGAATTCCAAGCGCGACTCGGCCGGAGCCTCTGTGGAAGGAAGCGGGGGCGGTGTTGAGGCGCGAGGAACAGCTGCGTCCGAATGCCTCGCTCTTGTGCCCTGAGTTCCGGCCTCAAAGCAACCGCGCTCTCTCAGAGAGCAAGGATGAATCACAATCCGCTTCGAAACCGGGACTGCACCCTGGCTAATGAAAAGTTACCGGAAATTCGAGCGCCTGCCCTCTTTTTAGGGAGGGCTCCCCGGTCTGGGCTGTAAAATCCAGTGGACCGGCAGAGGTTAGCTTTCTGAATCCCTTGGCTGCTGTTTGGTGGTCTTGCAAATTGTTGCACCTCAGATCTGGTCGCCCTACTTTAGTAAAAATCGATGGTTGACATAATACAGTAGATATATCGCCTTAATAGTGGGGCCAAGAAAGATTATGAATGCAATCTTATGCATTCTGAAAGGCTAATGAAATCAGAGTTGCCTTAACTGGTATTATCACAGTCCATGAGAGGTGATTTACTGTAATAAACAGATTAGCCTAAATGGGTGCAAGACGGTTGCTTTTGCTGGAAAAGTCTAATAGGGTCCTTCCTGTGGAAAGTGTTCCTTAGAAGTAATTTGCATGGCTAGATTTATGCATCCCAGGACATAATGCAACTTCTTCTGTTTTGGGTTAGCCATGGACATCTTGTAGCTTGGCTTAGCTTTCATGAATACAGCCATTGTGGTTTGCAAATCATAGTTCATAACATATGTTGTGTAAATCTAGGTACTGTGTCCAATATGGGTTATTAATTGTATTTAGAATGAGTGCATTGTAGCCCTTTCTGTGAGAATCAAAATGGTTTCAAAGACTACAGTCTGTTATCAGATGCTTGAGTAGGATTGAAAATGTATGGATGCTTTCTTCAGAGTACACTTGCTTAAAACACTTGGGTTTATTTCTGAGTCAACATAGAGAAGATTGGACCTAAATGCCAAGTTTCTCTGTTTTCTCCCAATGTAGCAGACGTTTGAAATACGAATAGGTTAATACAAGCCATGATGATATTGTTGCCCCACCTACATACACCCATGAGTATAACATTTTAACATTCATATGACAGAGGTGAGACCTAAGGTCACATGAGATTCCCAGAGTCCTCAAAAGGTATCAAGTTGTAGTTGTAGATTATTAAATGATCAAATATAAAACTAGTAATTGTAGTCATGTGAACTATGTTATATTTTGATGAACTGAAAATGCAGTGAAATAAAAATGATTTATTGGCTTCACTTCCTAATTTTGGCTAATATGGCCCTGCAAGTCACTCAAAGTTGAAGTAGGACCTTTGATGTCAGTAAAGTTAACTACCCATGGTATAGAAGGCAGACAATGCAACATAGGCATATTCTTATTTTCTTGACATTGCTCCTGCAATGGACAACACTAATGGCTGTTGAAAGAATTATGGACCTAATGAACATGAAGTACTTCTAACATGATTCATAGAGTGGTAAGGCCTTCACAAATATCAAGGTCTAACATGTTTGCTGAAAAGCATTGGATATGCCATTTTCATCTAGGATAGTGTAAAGAATAAAACAATTTGTGCCTCAATATAATGTGACTTGGTCTCTGGTTTAAATGAACTCCTTTTAGGGATTTTTTCCTAGTACAATAGACATTAATCATCCCAACTTCTGATTAGTTGATGAATAGTGCTGGTCATTGACCAAATAAAGATGATTGATTCTTTGATGAATAGTGCAATTTTAATTATATTTACTTAGCACTCAGTTCTCTTGAGTTCAGTGGGAAGTATTCCTTTGTAAAAGTGCAGATAGTTGATAAGGTTTGCTGAGGGGCAAATATGGTGTGCTAGTTCACTTTTCTCCCTTTTAATTGTTTTATTATTATTTTGCAAGACTATGAAGAAATAAAGAACAAAAAGCCAGCACAAACAAGTATCAATGCAGAATTAAAAGAGAAAAAATGAACCCCAAAATCACATTTGAAGAGTTTTAAAAAATAATTTATACACATTTACATTTACATTTAATATAAATATAATGAATATAATTCAAAATGTTGAATTTAATATAAATTTATATATTTTTGAGAACAAACTCTTTAAGCATCTGTATCCAGTATTACTATCTAAAATGACATTTGTTCAGATGAAGATGAATCTATTAGGAAGAATAGTAACATAATTAATATTTGGCACTTCCATCTCCTTAACATATTTCTGTGGAAAGAAAACAGAAAAATAGGTAGAAATGAAAGGATTTCAGATGGTAGGCATCAATACTGGCTCACGCCATCCCCAGGACATTTTGTGAATAAGCAAAAAGGTTCCATGTGAAAAAAAACTCATTTAGTAGCACTCACAAAATAATTAATTTGCAGATAACATGGTGGATGCTTATTCTATCTTTGGGGCTACTTTTTTTAAAATCTGGATTTGTGAGCTGCTGCTTTCTAGTTTCATGTTCATGCTGAGAATGTTTTAAACTACAATGGAAATGATTAAAAATACCTTTTCAGGGATAAGTTGCCAAATCTCATATTGGAAGATTTGGAAGAGTTTTTTCAAACTGCATAACCTTTTTGTAGAAGTGATTCATCATGCTGGTAGAACATATTGGAATCATTATTTTTCTTGCTGCACAAATACATACATATGGGAATAATTATGTCTTCCTATTAGTAATTACCACCATTTCTTTGACTTCCTCCAAATATTTGTAGAATAGGTGGAGTAAGAGTGGAACACACGTTCACAGAGAAGGCTGCTTGTAGGTTCATTGATTTGCCTCATTCCTGTAAACTTTATGAGCCCACAGGATGAGAGCCTTTAATGATCACACAGTAGCCAGAATTAAAACAGCTAGTTTAAGTACACCCCAAAGTAAGAGTTTCCCCCTTCACTGAACAGCAGAGGCTAGTTGCTTGATCATAAACTGCTTTTGAAAGTTCTCTCACTTTTAAATACAGTTCGCTATGCAACTTTATAGGTTCCTGTTTGAGAAACAATACCAATCTCTGCTTAGATGTGAGTTTAGCTGATGTGAGTCAATATTTTTAGGCTTAAGCAGGCAGTCTCTATTTACAATATTTGTGATAATCTGGGTGGCTGCTAACAAACCCTTCAAAAAATGATGAAATTGATGTACTGAAAAGTTGAACACTTGCAGCTCATTCTGAGATTTTGAATGTGGCTTGTTCATATTCTTGAAAGTCTTTAAGTCTGCCTTTGCTTGGGCAAAAGCCAACGTTCTCAGGGTTTCACCAGCTGGGTCTTTCCATCAAGGCACTCCAAATAGAACTGGAGAAGTCGCTGTTCCTGTATAATGGAAAAGTTTCAAGTGTCTGATAGTCCTAGTGCTGAGATTATACTAAGGCAGACAGGCCTGTAATTTTCCACTGGAATTTGCAGAAAGTACCTGAGGTTAAATCTATTAGCCTTCTTTATCATAAAACATTTGTTCTGAAAAGAAAATAAAGAGAAAAGAAAAGAAAAAGTTATTTATACAGCATCAGGGAATCCTGCACTGATTTCTAGGTCCTGATTTTACAATGTACATTTTTGGAATATATGAAAAGACAACTGTCCATGTGAATGGCTTTGCCATGAAGTAACCACAACAAGTTCCTATACTAACACAGTGTATCCCATAATGACAAAGTGAAAACAGAATTTTAGAAATGTCTGTAAATTTATTAAAAAGGAAAAACTGACCCTTTGCAACAACACTTGAAATTTAGCTCAGGTGCCTCTTGATCATTGCTGAGCT